CTTAATCGACGTTGAAGAATAGCCTCAGGCCGAATCAGTGATCAGTAGCCTTCAAAATCCTTGGAAAATGGCCTTTCGAAAAAAATCCCCAAGAAATTACGATAATGCCATCCGAAAATGAATTCTCCCAAATCGGTGCTTAATGGGTTTCATCATCCTTGAAGAATTGGATCAATAGACGTCATTATATGTGGAGAATAGCCTCGGACTGAATCCGTGATATGTAGCCTCCAAAATAGAGAGAAAATTGCATTTCGGAAAAATCGCCCGAAATCTGTGATGGTACCCTTTTGCAATATGCCAAAAATGGACCCGGACGAAATCCGCCCAAATCGGTTCTTAATGGACTTAATCGACGTTGAAGAATAGCCTCTGGTCGAATCCGTGATAAGTGGCCTTCAAAATCCATGGAAAATGGCCCAAGAAATTACGATAATGTCATCCGAAAATAAATTCGCCCAAATCGGTGCTTAATGGGCTTCATCATCCTTGGAGAATTGGACCAATAGACTTCATTATATGTGGAGAATAGGCTCGGCCTGAATCCGTGATCTGTAGCCTCCAAAATAGAGAGAAAATGTCATTTCGGAAAAATCGCCCGAAATCAGTGATGGTACCCCTTTGCAATCTACCAAAAATGGACGCGGAAGAAATACGCCCAAATCGGTCCTTAATGGACTTAATCGACGTTGAAGAATAGCCTCAGGCCGAATCCGTGATCAGTAGCCTTCAAAATCCATGGAAAATGGCCTTTCGTAAAAAATGCTCCAAGAAATTACGATAATGCCATCCGAAAATAAATTCGCCCAAATCGGTGCTTAATGGGCTTCATCATCCTTGGAGAATTGGATCAATAGACTTCATTATATGTGGAGAATAGCTTCGGGCTGAATCCGTGATATTTAGCCTCCAAAATAGAAAGAAAATGGCATTTCGGAAAAATCGCCCGAAATCTGTGATGGTACCCCTTTGCAATCTGCCAAAAATAGACCCGGAAGAAATACGCCCAAATCGGTCCTTAATGGACTTAATCGACGTTGAAGAATAGCCTCAGGCCGAATCCGTGATCAGTAGCCTTCAAATCCCTGGAAAATGGCCTTTCGAAAAAAAAAACCCCAAGAAATTACGATAATGCCATCCGAAAATAAATTCGCCCAAATCGGTGCTTAATGGGCTTCATCATCCTTGGAGAATCGGATCAATAGACTTCATTATATGTGGATAATAGCCTCGGGCTGAATCCGTAATCTGTAGCCTCCAAAATAGAGAGAAAATGGCATTTCGGAAAAATCGCCTGAAATCTATGATGGTACACCTTTGCAATATGCCAAAAATGGACCCTGAAGAAATCCGCCCAAATAGGTCCTTAATGGACTTAATCGACGTTGAAGAATAGCCTCAGGCCGAATCCGTGATCAGTAGCCTTCAAAATCAATGGAAAATGGCCTTTCGTAAAAAATACTCCAAGAAATGACGATAATGCCATCCGAATATAAATTCGCCCAAATCGGTGCTTAATGGGCTTCATCATCCTTGGAGAATTGGATCAATAGACTTCATTATATGTGGAGAATAGCCTCGGGCTGAATCAGTGATCTGTAGCCTCCAAAATAGTGAGAAAATTGCATTTCGGAAAAATGGCCCGAAATCTGTGATGGTACCCCTTTGCAATCTGCCAAAAATGGACCCAGACGAAATCCGCCCATATCGGTCCTTAATGGACTTAATCGACGTTGAAAAATAGCCTCGGGTCGAATCCGTGATAAGTGGCCTTCAAAATCCATGGAAAATGGCCTCTCGAAAAAATGGCCCAAGAAATTACGATAATGCCATCCGAAAATAAATTTGCCC